CTGACAAATTTTACTTTCTGGGCTTGGAACAGTTAATCAGGAGGGTTCTCGTGGCACTAACAGGTTCTTCTCTTTTTCCCTCGGTTACTTCTGTCTGTCTTACTTTTTCTATGCACTTTTGTATAGACGTGCTTCTATTTACTAAAACAAACAAAGGCCTACGTCCTTAACTAAGATGGTGCCTATTATAAAAATGTTACTTGTTGTATTTCTACTACATTATACTACAGTTGCTGCTGTTGCTCCAGCATGTTTGATATATATAGAAGTGCTTTCTTTTCTTTATAGGCCTATGCAAAATCAAATCTAGTATCTAAAAATGAAATAAAATACAGTCAAGCATAGATAAGATAAACACGGAAAATTCAGAATCACTGATAGCTCATACAATTATTGCTATTCCCAACTAATATCTCTTTAGTGTTTCGATACATCGGTTTACCTGAATTATGGACGTGTCAAACATATTCGTCAACCCCCAACAACGCATTTGAGTTATCCGTGCCTGACTGTAGAATGTAATTGCACAGGTGCCAAGTATGAAATAATACACAACTGACAGGACAGTCCGTTCTATGAGTGAGTGAATAGGAGTACTTGTTATGCTACCACATGTTATAATTGTTTTTTTTAGAATTTGAACATCAAAGAAATTTATGAGGATAAAATGAAACATCTTACATTTTTTCCTTCTTTCAGCCTTCTTTTCTTTTGACAGGAAAAAGAGAGAGAAAAAAAAAATCATTATGCTTGAACTGGTTGCGAGTTTGCCATGTCTGAGTTATGCTATTGTCATAGCTCTTTGGTGACATGATGCTTACGGTCATCCTCATCCTCATCATCATTGCCTTTCTCAACCTGCAATGGTCATAGAAGCATAAGCAATGTTTTAACCAGAGCCATTTTAAAAAGCTTTCACAAATACCAGGAAAAGCGTTTCACACAAAACAAAGTAGTCATTTGTACAAAATTTTGAAAACTTGTTTTATGAAATGTTTCGGTGAATGAAACCAAATTTTTTAATGAGATGGTAGGCTTAGCCATGTTAAAAAGCTTTACAATAGCAGGGATAATGTTTCTCAGCAACCAAAGTAATCATTTTTACAAGTTTTTCCAAACTTGTGCAATGAAATGAGTCAGCAAATTATCAACAAATTTTCTTAATGAGATGGTAGACGTCTCAGCAATGCTCCGGTAGATCTGTTTCATTTTGGCCAACATCTTGACAACGGTACATTTGTACAATTGTGGCGTTATACCGTCGAACCTGCTCCAACGAGAACCGGTCCAAGCCAATCACCTGTACCAAAAAATAAATCATTCCTACTTCTCCC